GTCACTCCTCTTTTGTGTAAGGACTCTGAATCAGTTAGCTTTTCACATGACCTTCAGTTTGGTGTGGTTTTGTTGTCATTGCTGAGACTACAATATGCAGTAGACCTGTAAGCAGATACTTTCTTTGCAAACATATATACCAACTGACACACCTGTTTGTCACTGGTCCCATCACCTCTGCTGGCAGGGGAGCCAGGTGAGCACCCACTCTTCATTTCAGGAAAAAATCAGTCAAATAAGGGCATGGTTTATTGACTTGCTTAAGCCAAGCTAAGCACGCTGCCATCAAAGCCTTGCCATCCCAGCTGCATATCCTGTCCTCTCCCTGCACTGCAACTAGCACCTGTTCATCTGGTCCACCATATAGCTTAATTCACTGATGCAACTGAAAACAAGGTTTTTCCTTGTGTTTGAAGAGTTTACACCAATTCCGCAGCCACGTGGTACTGAAGGCACGCAGACTGGGTAGGCAGGAAGGCACGGTGGTCCTTTAGAGCAATGGCAAAGCTGTCGTGAACCAATCATGAATATGTCCCTTCAGTTGAACTTGCTGCTGGAGGTGGGTGTGAACTGATGCAATAACCTCACCTGAAGCTGAGTGAGGAGCCCTTGTTCAGTCTCCTCTGGCAGACCTATGCAGAGATGGTAGCTTCAGCTGGTAAGGATCAATCTGCCTTGCAGCATGCTCAGCATGCAAAGGTACTTTTTGGGGAACTAATATCAACTTACTCCTTACAGTTTGGAAGCTTGAAAACCTGTCCTGTCACATTGCTTGAAATTTTAATAATTGTCTTATTTTAAATCAGTAAGAGCACACACACTACAGACACACAGACAGTATGCAAGTATTATGAACCAGGTTACCTAGTTTAAAGAAAAATGTCTTCCTAAAGGCAAAATATAGCTAATTTGCTTGACAGCTTCTTTAGAAAACTCTAAGAAAAATATTTCTGTATAGCATGAATCAGTCTGATATATGATGTGGTTTTGGCTGGGATAGAGCATATTTTCTTTTCAGTAACTGGCATAGTGCTACATTTTTGGATTTAGTATGAGAATAACACTGATGTTTTCAGTTGTTGCTAAGCAGTCAAGGACTTTCAGCTTCCCATGCTCTGCCAGGTGCACAAGGAGATGGGAGGGAGCACAGCTAGGACAGCTGGTCCAAACTGGCCAGTGGGATATTCCACAGCATATAACATCATTCTCAGTATATAAACTGGGGGTGGCATGATCACTGCTTGGAAATGGGCTGGGCGTTGGTCAGCAGGTGGTGAGCAATTGTGTTGTGCATCACTAGTTTTGTATATTCTTTTATTATCATTATTATTACTACTGCTATTATTCATTTTTCCCCTGTCCTATTAAACTGTCTTTATCTCAGCCTATGAGATTTTTTTGATTCTCTTCCCCATCCCATTGGGGTGGGGGGGAGTGAGCGAGCAGCTGCGTGATGCTTTGTTTTGGCCGAGGTTAAACTACAACATGATCTTAAGTAAATACTTTTTTCTCCAGTAGGTGTACAGAGATACATTTCAGATAATTCTATTCAAAAAGAAACATGACAATGATACATAAATACTAATCACAACTATAACTTAAAACCACCACTTTATAGTAAACATTTTATATAGTCTCTCTGTTAAATTATATTTACAAGTATGTAACTCTTGCCAAGAAATAACAGTTGCAAATTCTTTGGAAAAAAAAATTAGTCTTTTTATTTCTCATTTAAAAGCCTCTCAGTCTAAGTTAGATGTTTAAATCAAAATACCAAATGAACTGTACTAGCCACAGGTTACAAAAAAACATATGATCGTATATTCTTTTGTATTGTGTATGACATATGCAGTTTATGACAAAGTTCTTAATTATTTATTTTCATGATTTAAGTGCTTCAGCTTTGTAAACAATGTGATGAAAGCCATGTCTGTCACTTAGTAACCTTTTTAAGCAATTCCTGATTTTGTAATAACTTTCGCAACAATTTTAGTGTAAGACAGACAGAAGTCGGGATCGCTGGAGAATTGTGTTAAATTAATCTGAGGATACTGAGAAAAAACACCTATGAAATCAGAGATTGGTAGCAGGCCTTCAGGGGACCATCTCTACGAGCAAAGGAGGACAGGATAAAAACCAGAGAATAAATACCTATTTTTCAGAAGGAATATGACAGAATACCTTAAGTGAACAGAGACAAGGAGCCACCTTTCTTGTGCTAGTTGTTTCACTTATTGAATGCCCATTTACTTGCCAAAGCTGGTTATTTTGAACTGCTTTTAGCTTTGAATTTTTTGGACAGCAGAACCCTTAGCACCGGCTGGTACTGAACAGCAAAGTGCTAAACCAACTATTAACTCTGGTCAAAGATTTTTCATGACTCCATATAAGCACCGTAGAATTGGAGCTTTCCATCAGTAGATTAGACAAAGTCTTGAACATCTTTTCATATTTACTTTCTCATCTTTTCCTATTGGGAGGGAGCATACAGGGAGTACGTGTCATTCACCGCTTGCAAGAACACAGGCTGGGGTCTCGCTGGCTGGGGAGCAGCTGTGCTGAAAAGGCCCTGGGGGTCTCTGCAGACAGCAAGCTGAATACAAGCCAGCAGTGTGTCCTGGCAGCATTTGGAGCTGTATTGA